CCCCAAAACCCCAAAACCCCAAAACCCCAAAACCCCATAAGATAGTATTAGATAGGGAAAATGAGAATAAAGTAAGCACAAATCCAAAAGTAAATCTTAGAAATAAATTAGTTATTGATTGAGTTAGATTAATATTACTCATTTTTAATGCAAAAGTTATCTTCATGCATAAACAATGCATCAAATTGTATCATCTTCAATGAGCTATTCAAGGTCATAAAGATCTGAACTCTTCATTGTCTATAGGAATTTAACTTAGAATTTATTACGGTACTTTATTGACTACACTGCTATGCTGGCCGGCTACTGACTATCTGTTCGAGGAATGAGCATCCCCCCCACTGACTATTGAGCCTTTTTATTCTCTGACTGCCGGCTTATCTAATACCATCCAATTATCAGTAAAATTACTTCTATCACTTTTAGAGACATCATTTAATAATTACTCATCATCATTGTTAGCAGGCTTTTTAGTAATCAACTATTGGTTGGTCTTGCTCATCATGTCATCATTCACATTTTTGCTTATAGGTGCTCCTGCAGTTAGAATCTGTGTCTTTTTTTCTCTTCTTGATATATCATCCTTCTTGCCGTCCTCATTGATATTCCAAAGTTCTTACAGAGTGACTTTTCCAATTCTCTTTTTGCTTTTGTGATTAATGTATTTTTCATCAATGCCCATTAATTCATTCATTTCTATTGCATCTTGACCGAGATTGTTTTTAGATTGCTGTTCGATTTGACTTTTTACGAAAGATTACTTTTGTTTATCCTTGAGTGCTTTGATCTGATCCTCAAGGATTTTACCACCATCTTTTCTCACTTATTCAGCTTTTATATCGAGCATTTCAAAAAGGTTATCAAGTTCTTCTTATTAGGTTCGCTCTTCCTAAACTACCCACTCTGGCTTATCCTTTATCACATTACTCAAGAAAAGCTTAAAGACGATGATAGCATGCTCAATGATGACAATAATCATGAATTTCTCAGTTTCATCATAATCTCTACCATCAAGAATATCATTAAGAGAGTTTGATGTCCAGTAGATGATAGCGCAGTTCACTCCAATAGCAACATAAGATAGTAACTATAATAAGATTAAAAGCAAGAAAGATAGATACCTCAACAATCCCTCTCCAATTTCCAATACCACTTGCTCCTTGAGCTATTGATCTCTTTTGATAGTAAGCCATCATGTTCATGGTACCCTTCATCTCCAAAAAGTTTGTGAAAATTGACAGGAGAGGAGCTAATGGGAATGCTTAGGCGAATAGTACAATATATCCAAACTGTTGAATGATTTCAGCATATTTTGTAACTAGAACATTGGACTGGGGCTCTAATATGCATTATTCCTCAACCATCTATTGCACATCAAAATCAGCTTTTTTATCTGGTTTTCCTACAAAATTCTATTTAAGAGCTTTGTGTAGTTTCCACATTCTAAATTTAACCAAGATCCATGGCTGTATGACTTCAAGCATGTTAATACCTATTTATTTGGCTGCCAATATGATAGCTAAATTTTAGGCTAATTGGTTAAAATCTTAATCTGAGAAGGCTACTGCGAAGAGTGCAATGTAGGCATTAACGAACTAGAAAGCAAAATGTTTCGAGACGAGAGAATTTTCCCACTCTTCTTGGTACTGGTGATTTTCCCAAGATACAAGTAAAGTGGCAAGTTTTCTATAGAGTGTTCCTAAAACGACAATAATGACTGCATTCATAACAGAAGAACCGACAGAGTACTCAGTTTTGCCTTTATGATCAGATTACAATTTCCTGAATCCCCAAAAACACAATACAACCAATCCTATTGATAATGTCGCACTTGGAATTTCACCGAACATTCTTCTAACATAAGTACTGGCAAGGTTTTCTTTTTTAATTGATTTTGTCTTATCATCAATTACAAAATCTGAACGGTAGTCTGGCATTTCAGTATCAGCTCCAAGATATCCAGTCATATTCCATATGTGAGCTATTTCACTTTCTTTTCTCTTCCAAACCTCTAGGAATACTGTTGACCATATAGCTAATACCAAGCAATAGAGACAATTGAAAGGATTGTCCAAATCAATGGGCTTTTTGTCTTTGATTTAGCCACCGATGATAATCATCTAATAAATGAAAAGTGCAAGACCAGGGATAGCAGGAATAATTAACCAAGAAGTATAGAATAAAAGATAGGCAAAGTAGAATCCCATCTTTTCTCCATAATATCTCGCAATAAAATGCAATGGCTGCATGTAGTGCTTGTATCTACCAGTAATGAAGCCAAAGAATAATGCAAATCTGTATTATCTCCAGCTCTCATCAATAGTATTTTTAAAAGCATCATGTAAAGGGAAATGGTCAATAATCACACCTGCTTTTTTGTAACTGAAAAATTAAAGTTAAAATATTTAAATCTTACTAGTCAACATCAATTTCCTATTCAAAGATCTTCATCATGAGGAATTACTTTTGTCTTGCTTAAAACTATTCATACACATCCTCTGCATAATTTTTGAATGGAACAGATTGGTTTTAATCTAGGAGTCTAACAGGCAACTCATATATTTCAGCCATTTCGTCCAATAAATCATCTGAAAAGTAAATAACTAGCAAATCTCTATCAGGGTTTAATGCGGCTAATAATATAAAAATGAAATAATTACATGTGAAAGATTTATATTGAATCTTTAAATCAACCAGTTAGCTTTCTAAGAGAGGAGCTCTTGCTTTTTACACAATGAAAATATAGTCAGGTTCTGAATCAACTTCTTATTCTTATGCAATATGCCTATGGTTCATCTAGATTGGCACTAGACCTCTCAAATTTCTGTCATTCTTGAATTGTTCACTTTGTGATTATTACTCAAGAAATGCTGCAACATCTGTATGCACTCTCTTGTGAGCTAAATGTAAAGGATTGTTTCCGAATTTATCCTTAAAATGATACTTTGCCTTGTACAACGCTATCTCATTCCTAGATTGGTACTCAAGTCCTAAAATAAGCTTTACAGTTTCAAGACGCCCATTTTCTACTGCTGCCATCAACGCATTCTGTTCATCAAAAGCAATTGAGAAAGGTGAATATCCCATCCTAATTACATAAGATACAATTTCAGTCATTCCCAGAGCTGATGCCCAGAATAAGATATCATATACTACCTTCGACTCGTCATTAAGCTGCATGTTTGGATCATCAAATCTAAGCCTAACTATTTCACTTTCATTTGGTCCTTTATTTTCATCATCAAGATGAGCAACCTGTCCCGCTTTAAGAAATTTCTCTGTAGAGGACTAATTGTTTTGATTTTACTCTGTTCCTAATGATGGTGATTTTCTCTATTTCTGATACCACAAAGTAAGAATGGTTTCAACAATCTATAAAATATTTGTTATTGCCTGTAGTTAGATAATATCATACTCCAAAGTTTTCACAAACACCAGCCACGTCAAGGGGAGTGTGAATATTTGTTGACTGTTACAAAATTGCTTTATTATTGAGTAGGAAAACTACCACACTTTTGTCTTCATTAAAAGCAGCCCAATGCAGAGCAGTAAGACCTGTATATTCTTTTTTAAGGTTTACATTTGCTCCCTTGGAAACAAGTAACTTTACACATGCAATTCTCGAAAAACTAGCCTCTTCCTCTTTCTCATCGTAACCTCTGAAGCAGGCTATACAATGTTAATAAATAACACATTTGGCAAACAAAATTCTTTATTGATAATCAAAAATCACTTACCATAAAGGAGAGGAGTAAATCCAAGATTATCTAAAGGATCTACACTCAAATGCAATTTATCATACTTCTCTAATAAGAAATCGAGTACATCATCATGCCCAAAATATGCAGCCTATAGCTGTTAAATCATATCAATATACAAGATGTATGCAAGTTTTTCCATCGTCATCCTTAGATTAAAGCAATGCCAAATGATTATCAATTTTATCCATGTAATCTTTCAATTTAATCAAAATTCCATCCTTGCATTAATCTAGAAATTCAATTGCCTAGATGTTGCTTTGCTTTTTACGTATACAAGACATTTATATTTCGTAACTTATATTTACTATTGTTAAATTTTTAATATTCTCTCGAGTTATCTTCAAATATAAATCTATTTCACCTGCTTATCTTAATATAACTTTTGTATATCATAAACTACTCTTTGTGGTTTAATTAGAAGCATATGGGGTTTTGGGGTTTTGGGGTTTTGGGGAGATCGGAAG